ATATATATATATATATAATATCTACGATCATTAATGAACGCGAGTTTCCAACCGTTTGTTCGTCCAGTCTTTGTCCTTCGCACAATCGAATGCGTTCTCACTACTACAACACGTTCAACGAATTTGACTGATTTCAAATCTCGAATAGTATTTTTTCGAATAATATTTCAAATATAGGAGTAAGAATGAAATTGATACTAATTCGAGACAACTCTTATCTTCTTTGTCAAACGTTTTAGTATCGTCGCGTGGATAACATTCGTTCCTTTAAGGAATATTCTCTTTTCCTTTCCCTCCACTCCACTTCCTCGCGATTTTTCTCGTATTTTCATGAATAAAGAATTTTCAATTTGCACTACCGGAAGGGGACTGCTCGCGTACGTGCGCGAGCGGCGGAATTCTTGGAAGATGGCCGTATTTTTACGCGATAATCAATGTATGAATAGTAAAGCGGAAAGTAAAGTTCGACGAAGAAGAGGTCTCGTGCCAGGGGAACCGGGTCGAATCGATAATCATTGCGTCCTTTCCCCTCCCAACCACGCATTAATCTTGGAAGAACGCGCTCGATTTGGCCAGGTAAAGCCAAGTGTTATTAAAATACACCCACTTTTTTTTTGTACGATCGCTCGCGCGGATAACTCCCGTGATCGATCCCCTGTAATATTCGTACATCCACGATATGATTATTACGATATTTCGGTTACGAGTAGGACCAAAAACGAATATCGCGAAAAAACGTACGTTCTCCGATCATATCGGATTCGCTTGCGTCGCGTGTCATCGTCCATCCGTGAATTTCGAAGTAGACGCGTGAAAACGCATGAATAGTCTTTTAAAAAGTCCCCACGTGCTTCTCTCCTCTCCAATTTACTCTTTTTTCTTTCTTTTTTTTCCTTTTCTCCTTTTTTTTTTTAATCAAACTATATTTCTATCCATATCTTTTCACGATCTAATAGGAAAGAAGAGTATCGATCGGTATTCGCGTACATCCCAATGTGTTTAACGCGGTTCGAGCTCGAGCCGTATCCATCGATCATCGATACCGGATGAAATATTTTCAATATCTCTCGTGGCGGCCGTGCTCGAGACATTGTTTTCCACCTGTGACGGGGAGGAAAAGGTATATAAGGGTGTATCTGTAGCTGTAAATACGTCTTCCAGCCGGAGGAAATCGTAGTAGGGCAGAATGGAAAATGTACTCGAGGGAGCTGACGGACTACGCGCTTAAATCCGGCAATCGATGCGAGCGTCATTCGAGGAGACGCGCGTCGCTTCGTTTTGTTTCTCTCTCGGCTTACAAGGGGCGGACGAAGGAAAGGAAAACGGCCGGCTGCAACTATACGTAGACGTGTTACTTTAGCTTCTACGTTGGGAGGGGGAAGGGAGAGGAAGGAGGGGAATATAAGGTACACGTACATCGTACGTGTGTATGGCTGTTGTATCCAGTTCCCCATCGCGCACGATGCGGTGCGGCGCACATTTTTCAATTTGTAGCTTTCGTGACAGCCATCTATTCTCCCGTACGAGTTACGCTTCCTTAAGAATCGCGGGACGAGATAGTATCGACATAATGGTGGTCGGTGATTTATCGGGGATTAACGAGTAATTCATAGATCTCGCATTAGCCTGGCCCAGTGTTAAGCGTTATCGACCGTGTCATCGAGCCGGATAAAGGAGGACGAAGGGGTTGGGGGTGTACACGGCTTACGCGTGTGACGTCACGTGAATGCGAACGTAGGTTATTTTCGAAAATTTCGTTTCGATTTCTATCGAACGTACGCGAGATATGGATGGTTTTTCGTTTCCATGGGAGAAACTTTTGGGCAGAATTCCGCGATAAATAAATTTCTTGATCTTTTTGAAGAAGCTGAGGGAAGGATAAATGTTTCGAGAGAGCGTAAGAACTGTTGGGAGAACTTCAGCGAGGCTAGGGGACTTGGCAAAGGATTGAAAGAACATTAAGCCTTATTGGCAACACGTTTCACTCCGTTCCTCTGTTCAAAGTGTTTTAAACGGGCGAGGCGAAGAAGCGTTGAATGTAAAATGGCCGTTTATCGTCATTATTATGAACGTTTCTGGAAAATGCACGAATCCATATCGACCTTCTTAGATATTCCTCGTGTAGCAATGTAGAAACGTATATATATATATATATATATCTTCCATCCTCGAAGCATTTTCGAGAGAGAACAATTTTTTCTACCCATAATAATGCACTCAATTAACTACAAACGTTATCGATAAGTTATCTCGTTAATAAAACAACTAATATTGCGTTTAATAATCCAGCACGAATTAAGCTTCGTGTTGTTCTCAACTTATTAATCGCTCTCAT